AAGTTTATACAAAAAAGGTAGGTATTAAATAAGCCTATAAAATGAGAAAAGTCCGATTAAATTCCGATAATTTGTTTATGCACAAGAGCTCAAAAATGGTAGAAAATTGCCGCTTTTTTAATTGCTAATAATTAATGCAATTTTCATCGCAGACACTTGTAATTCAGGATTTTTTAGGCTTTTTACACCCTTAATAAGAGATAAAAATTTCAACCCGAAAGCTTCAATGGTTTGGCGTTGGCGGAATTTGTTATCTAAGAAGATGCTATTTTCAATTCATTTTTCCCAAGCTCACTGGCGTTGTGGGGTTTCGATCATTAGTTGTTTTTGTACCTAAATAGTTGCATGCACATTGACATATGCATTTACTGAGAATTTAGTTTTTCAAATTTAATTTGTTTAAAAACGACTGAAAAAATGTTAATATTTATTAAATTGTTAAGATAGGTAATTATTATAAAATAAAATAGTAACCTCTATAATTTAGTTTTCTTCGAATTTAAAAAAAAAAACGTAAGTTGATTAGAAGCTGAGATAATTTTTTTTTTATTTAATCGCAGTGACCTTAATTATTAATATTAAGAGCCGAAATTTGGAGAGAGTATACATTAAGAGCTATATTTTCATGTCCTACATTAACATTAAGGTGAATTCAACTATTTAATTGCGAAATTTTTAAACAAATTAAATTTGAAAAATTAAATTGTCAGTAAATGCATATGTCAATTCAACTATTTAGGGTACAAAAACAACTAATGATCGAAACCCTACAACGCCTGTGAGCTTGGGAAAAATGAATTGAAAATAGCATCTTCTTAGATAACAAATTTCGTCAACGTCAAGTTAATGAAGTTTTTGGGCTGAAATTTTTACCACTTATTAAGGGCGCAAAAAGCCTAAAAAATCCTGAATTACAAGTGTCTGCGATTAAAATTGCATTAATTATTAGCAATTGAAAAAAGCGGACAATTTCGACACTTTTTGAGCTCTTGTGCATAAGCAAATTATCGGAATTTAATCGGACTTTTCTCATTTTATAGGCTTATTTTACAGATTTATTTAATACCTACCTTTTTTGTATAAACTTTTTTTCGCTATGAATAATAGTTTTTTTACGTGTCAAAAAACCACTTTTCCATAAATTTGACCATTGTTTTAACAAAGTTTCCCAACTAGTATCGAGTTGATTTTTGATATTTTGTTTGTAACACGTTTCTGAACAATATTCCTCAGAGAAACTTCTAATAGTATTTTTTTCCCGAAAAAAAGCTACAATGACTGGCCTATATTGCAAGAATTAATTCCCTAACTAGTATTCAATTAATTATACCAGCAATATTTAATAAACAGTTTATAATTATCTGTAATAAAATTAAAAATGATGTATTAATATAAAAAACTCAAAGATTCTTGTTCTTCTAATATCACTCCACTCTTATCACTCTTGATAAAGACCAACACGAAAAATAGACATGTTGGCGGACTTAAAAAATTATTACTTTATTTTATTGGGCATTTAATTCTGAAACTTTTCTTACCCTTGTTAGTTTTCAAAAAACTTTGTCGTTTTCAACAAAAACGCGAATAACTAATAATAGTATTGTAGTTGTTGTTTTTAAATCATCGAAAATTCAAAAGTTGGCTATGAAATTAAATGTCAAACTTGGCACCCTGCATTTTTAAAAGAGAAATTTCACTTACTGTTACAAGAAAGAGGTTATTTAAAATAACATAAATTTTATTATTAGGTCTGGCTTTCTTTCCTATAATTTAAAGGTATTGGGGTAATTCAATCAAATTCAAACATGTCATTTTTCCAAAAAGTTTCATTTTTATAGAGGGTTTCCAAAAAAATTTTGGTATTTATACCTAATAGTTTTGTGTCAATTATTATTTTTATTAGATCTTTTCTAATTCTAATTATTAATATAGGTACCTATTAATTTTCATAAAAGGCGTTTCAAAATTATGTAAAAACAATTTTTTGTCAACTTTGATGACCTCTGGCGGCTAAACGAAGCAACTTACGATAGAAGTAAATTTAATTAAATCTATTCATTTAGATCGCAGGAAGCTGCGGTAGCTCCATGTACACGGAATATTAACACACCCTGTACAATTTTCTGATTAAACTTATTAGGTATATGTATGTAAGTACTAGGTATACTTGAATATGAGATTACTGTCGACTGTATTATCCGCATGGGTATTTATTTTTGTCAGGTTGAATAAATTTCATTAAAAATTCTAGGAATTATGGAAACCCACACAATCTATGCATAACTATACAGCTATTGCAATAAGTTTGTACTGCAATTAACAAGAATTACATACCAATAAATGGTATAGGTATAATATCTGGGCCTGCAACGCAACGATTTCGGGCCTATTGACGGAGAAATGCCCCACCCTAAACTGAATTTCGGTGGAGAAATGAATTACATTACGTCTGATGGTGATGTATAATACTTTTTCATCTCTTTTTATCGTTAAATACACTTACAAAGAAATTCAAACACGATATTTGTTACTAGACATTACTATTATTAAATATTACCAGCGTTAAAATATTAACATATTTTAAAATGAATAAATAATTTAGCAAATTAAAGCATTTGCACATACCTCGTCTAATTATGTCTTAATTGTTAGGTAGAGGTAGTTATTCACAAAATATTTGAATGAATGAAGTATTTGAAGATTTATTTCTAATACCTGCTCCTTGCAATGAAGTGACTTATAAGGAAATACGTAATTGTTTCGTTTGGGTTGGGACATCATTCTAATTATTAGCATTTACGTATCTTACAATCCCTAACAAAAGACAATAATAATTATCTGTTAGTTCTTAGTTATTCTAATTCAGAAATGTTCTCAGTCACGTTAAGTACTCAAACTTATTTATATTATTCTTGGATACCTGACTGGTACGCCTATTCTACAAATTTCTGGTCTTGGCATTTTAAATTTGAGGGGAGCACCCATTCCGTCGATATTTCTTGAAAAGCAGGTGGTCAACCGTCTAGGTAGAACAGCTGCTGTACCATTTCAAAATTTGATTCGTCGAGAAAAGAGACGACACCATTAAAACATCCTTTTCGCATTTCATAATATATGCAAGACGGAATGTTCGCTCCTTCCTTATAAAAATTAAATATGAAGCTTCCTTGAGCTACGTTTCGCATATTAAAAAATGATTGCAGGAAATCGTACGTATACCGCGGAAGAAAAATTCTAAAGCTAATTCCGATTAGCAATATAGTTACTTAAGAGTGCTATCGATTAAATAGCATTATCCGCGTATTCCTCGGCCTGTACCGAAAAATCTACCCCTCCTGCGAATCCTCCCTAGTTAGGCATGTAGCCGACAGATCCTGCGAAATACCGGCGTGGGTGGTAACCTCTGATACTCACCCCTTATTCTCTATAAAAATTCGGCTAAAATACAGCAAATGTACACTTACCACGACTGGTAATTAAGGAATTGCTCTTAGGTAGCACTAATCACCACAACTGCACAATAAATATCACTAAATGGGAAATATCCGGGGATACCACGTTCACCCGCACACCACAAACTAGTGACTAACAATAATCAACAAACAAGAACAGACGCGACGTCCGACCGAACCGAGACGAAGCGAGGCAAGAAGAACCGATTCGGTACGATCCAGGCGTGTCTTGGCGCATATCGAAAAATCAATTTTAGGGCCGGATCGGGAAATCAAGCCGAGATGAGCTCGAAGATGGTGAACTTTTCGTTTTTGTTACGATATATTATGTCATTCGTAAATCACCTCAGGATACCTGTTAATTTTAATAACTACAGGTCACTACGTAATTTTTTTGTTAGAAAAAGACGTAAATAGTAAATAACACATATATGATTGTATACAGCGTGTCTCCGGATGAAAACGACTCTTGTAAAAGACAAAAAATGTTACATATTGAAAAATGGCCTGCTGAAATTCGTAGTAAGTCAGTATGCCTTGGAAATTAAAAGTGTTATTCCTTTATGAGCATCAGTGTGGTAGTTGCGTAAAATTTGGTACATTTGGTTTAAAAAATACGTTGGTGCTACCTACATCGCCAAAACTAGTAGAAAATGCTCAATTTGAACAAAATAAGAAGAAGAGTAATGATGCATGTACCTTCAAAATTGTTTCTCTTCTCTGGAGTTTATCAAAGATCGGTTTATGTCTAGATGCATGTAATTTGTCTACAAATTTGTTAAATGGTATATACAGGGTGGCATAAAAGTATGGAAACTCCCAGAAATCTCGCGATATGCATTTTCCGGAAAAACCAAATATAGGCAAAGTTAGGATTTTTCCCTGGCTATTCAATGGTGATCATGCCATGACCCATGACCACTGACCACTTGATCATTATGGGGGTCAAGTCAAGACGATTTTTTTAAATGGGAACCTACCCTTTTTGACCCCGTAAATGGAGAGCGGAAAATTTTACGTTCAGATATGACCGTGACCATTTCAAAATGGCGGCGAAATCAAGATGGCGGACGAAATTTTTGAAAGAACCACCAAATTTTGTATACGGAGGTTTTCGAGGTCGCTGAAAGTGAAAAAGTACGCTCAATTTTTTGGACTAATTTGTGAGCAATTAAAGCAACATGCTAAATTTGAATCGCTTCAGATATTGTTTTTATAACTTAATTTTGTTTTCAAACTTTTCTTAGGGAATTCTTTCAATGCACCATTTAGTAACACTTTGTATAATAAAACAGTGCAAAACACTTTTTGTATAAATTAGAACAATGGTAAAAACTTATAATTTTTTTATCAGTATTAACGCTACAATAAACCATTTTATTAAAGAAAATTATTCTTAACTATTAACATTAAGAAATCGTAAATTGCAAGATTTCATAAAATAAGTGCAACACTAATCAAATTATTTTTATAGTCGGCATCACAGAAGGCGTTTTAAATTCAGTTAGTTTAGTTAAATTGTAATGGCTGCTTAATGAAACTTCTTTCAACGAAAATAAGTATTATTTTATTAATTTCCATATAAAACGTATAAAACCACTTAACAAAATAAATATTCGAAATTGTCATAAAAGATCTTTAATTGTAATCGAACTCCATTTCCTTTTTCATATTAAACGCAAAGGAATTTGGATCGTCTACTAAGTCTTCCCATAACTTGTAATACTGTGCACTCGATATATTTTCACTAGGAATGTTACGTTCCTTCAAAAATTGCTTCCATACCTAAAGAAATTTTATTGTAAGCTCATATTCATTAATATACAGAAATAGCATAAGCCAAAAATTTAAATGTGAAAAATAATTCAAAAATAATTACCTGTTCTTCAGGAATTGCATCAATTGGAGGTTGATTCCCTACTTTTCCATCCAAAAATATTTGTAAGGTATATAATAAATAATAATAAGTATACATTTTGTCACCTTCGATGGCCTAAAAACAAAACTAAATTAATTTTTTAAACAGGTCAATTTTAAGTTCGAAAGTTATAAAACTTCGAAAATAATAATAAAAAATTTATTTCTAATCATATGTACTTACTTGAAATGCTATAGAATTATTACTACAACATTTTACTGGAAAGATACTAGTTTTATAATAATTTTCTCCGGGAAAAAACACATGATACCAATTGTATGGATGAAATGTTGAGAGCCCATGCGCATCTCTAGTGTCTGTAGGTGTAATATTTAAGCTTGATAAATGTTTTCCTTAAAATTGATTGAGATAAGTACTCACAATAGAACAACAATAAATTATTCTCACCTAAATAGAAATCTTCCCTATTCCAGTACGTATTTGTAGAACAGTCGCTATCTTGAAATTTATTTTTAAAGGCCTGTAAGCTTCCTGTACTTAATAGGTAACCAGCGTCTCCGGAATTATAGATAGTGTTCCAGAAAGTAACGGCATGCCCCAAATAATACTTATCAGAGGGATTTAAATTTACTACGTAATATCTTAAATTTTCCATTATTATAAATGTATTGTCATTCGCAACCACAATCCAGTGGTATTTGTCACTCGTATCTTTTAAACTTGAACATAATAGTACCCATGAAGAATTCTCTTTTGTTCGTTTCATAGGAACTTTACCATTTTTTCCAAAGATTTCTATAAACTTAATACCAGTGCAACCTCTACTCCAAGTATTTTTTACTGCATCAACATTCTTTGAATTGCGCACCAAAATAATGCACAATACCTTAATTTTATTAGACAAATACTGGGATTCTGTGAGATAATCGTGTTTTTGGTACCTTAATTTATCCCATGGTATAAATTTTCTTGTCAGTTTCTGTTTTTCAAACCATATGTTATAGGACGGAATCGTTTTCTTTTCAGGTACTTTTACATTAATATTCACATAGCTTTTGTAATAAACAGCCAGGGACACACCTATAAGAACTCCAACAACAAAAGCTACAAATCTTAAATAAAAGTGAACCATATTAACATTTCCCTACATGATTTTCAATTTTTCTGTTTATTTTCGTTTTCATAATTCTGACAGAACAAAGTAAGGTTAGAAAATCGTCCACTCCATGAAAACAAAACTTATGGCGTTTTCCATTGTCACACTGAGTGCGCACAGAGTATATTTCCATCTTATTTTATCACTGTAGATAATACAGGATGGAAACACACTGAATGCGCACTCGGTGCATCAATGGAAATCGCTATTAGATCATTACCGTTAGCTGCTTTCCAATTGCCAAGTGGTTTTCTACTTGTACTGATCTACTCATTAGAGGGTGGGTCCTTTGTCTATGGTTGGGTCCTTATATTTATATAATCCACAGATATAATCTGTGTTTTCTGTTGGTCGTAAATAACTACTGCATTATTTGTATTTGTGAAGTAACTTTCAATTTTATTTGAGACAAAAACTATGCAATATGTAAAGAAATAATTTTTCTGAGAAACCTAAAAATCCCGCTGCAGTCATAGATCCACATAACAATGAAGAATCTAGGTTAATTCACCCAATGTCATAATTCTTTACTTTCTCTTATATCTAGTAATTCTAGTATAGAAAGACGGCAGATTTTAGTAGCAGGTCTATGGGTTATATTTTATTTACCTCATACCTCATCGATTCTAAATGTTGATTGGTCAATTAATCGAGTTTTCAGGTAAATAAAACCGTGTATTATATGCAATCTGTCATTATAACAGCCATGATTAGGAATAATTAGGATGCATCCGTGCTGCCACACTCGGAGAATGCCATAATCAAATTCAAAGCCTACTTGACCGCTAAAATATAAATTGTGAATCTACGTAAAAAAAAAATTGAAAGATTTATCTTTACTCTTTACTACAAACTTTAGTAATCAAAGGTTTGAGGTAGATTTTATAATCTATATACTTTTTAGTGAGAAAATATCTAGTGGAAATGAATTTTAAAAATTTTAATTCTGATTCAACTTACTGTTCAGTGTATGAAAATAAGAAACAGTCTGAGGAAAGAAAATATAAAAGAGTTGTATTAACTGACTCAAAATTTCTTGACAAAGTTCATAACGAAGTTCTTCTTCACCTTGAAGGTAAGAAGTTGATAGGAAGATTAGAAGTAGTGCAATACCTGAAACGAATATCAAAAATGAAATTGGAAAATCCCAGAGATCAATGTTTCGCTAAAAATATTCAAACGTCTCTATTCAAGCTATACAATTTATTAAAACAATTTGAGAAAAGTTTAAACCTTGGCGATTTATCTACAAAAATGGAAACTATTGAAAATTATTCATTCCCTGAAGATTTTGAAATACCACACTTAAATAATGAAGATCCCAAACAGATTTTATTGCGAACTACCACTGTTGATAATGAAGAATCTTCATTTCCACTGGAAATGCTTACCAACGACAACTTTATATCTTCATCGCAGCATAATGCATACACTCCACTTGTCAATTCTTTAACAGCAAATACAGGGATTATAAGAAACGAGGCACCACTTTTGGAATTAGAAAATAAAGAAATGGAAATGAACAATTCAGATTATTTTATATCAGAAAATGGTAAGGCAAACATTAAAAATTGTTCCTCTTTAAGTTCTGTAGAAGCAATTATAAGTACAGATCCATATTCATCAAGAATTTGTCCAGAAACTTTAAATTATGAAAAAACTGTTGATTCTACTAAGAACTATATGAACAGTGAACGCATTGTCCTAAAATGTAACGATAAAATGGAAAATCTTACAAGTGTAGCAAACAAACCCCAGGAAGGCGATCCTATAAAAGAAATATCAGTTCTTTGTGCAAAATTATTGGTGAGGCATAAATCTGATGCCACGACGATAGCCGAAACTGTAAACTTGGAAATCGAGAATTTTTCTGGAAGTAAGAAAAATTTAAATACAAAATCTGTTACAGATCTAGGTAATTTATTTAAAGAATCGTATAATACAAACATTTACAATTTGTGTTACGGTACAGGCAAGAACTCGAATGACAACAAAATTTGGAAGAAAATTGAAAGCAACATTACAAACGTGGAACGTTTATCCGAAAAGGTGCATAATACTTTAAATGGTTTATCTAAAAAATTACACATTGAAGAAACTGGGATGCACGAAACGCAACATATAATGTTTAGAGGGAAAAATATTCACAATTTTAGCGAAGAGGACGATGCAAAATTGGACGTAGAAAATCTTATGAATACAAACAAAGTAAGGCTAGAACAGATTTCTCAAGAGTTCCAACCGTGTTTCAACTCGACAGAAAACGCAACGGGAGGAAATTGGTGAATTCCGAGCTTTTGACTGGAAAAATTATTATGTTATGCAATGTATATAGCAAATGCTGTTTTTACAAATTTAAGAATTATGGATTAAAAAACTCTTAGGTAATTTGTAACGCTAAAATGTAAATAAAGGAAAATTTTCAAAATATTGTACGTTTTATGTTTTCTTTCTTGGATTTTTTAACATTTCATTTAAAATTTTACGATATAGTTGTGATTTTTTGGGAGAACTTTTGTTTCCAACAAAATTTGACAACTCAAAACTTGCCGTAACTTTATGAAAAATGGTATCAAATATTTTTTATTAAAAACTTGATTTGAATTTAAAAAATATTTCAACACCAGCGAAATTAATTTTTTTTGGTAAAATTCAAATTTGGAACTGAAAAAAAAAGGACTAACCTAAGAACAACCATTTATTAGGCCCAATAAAAGTTTATAAATCAATAAAGTAGGTAAATAAACCATATAAAAGTGCGGTACAGTATTTACGTACATTCATATATTATGTGCACAAACATTTATAAAATGGAATCATTCGAGGTATAACTTGGGACAATTATGTCTAAATAACTATAGGATATGTAGTATTCTTGGTCCGGATTTAATTCGGACGATTTACTGTCGGTAAAGCGTGGAGGTTTAAAAATATATTTTAAGTAGGAGTTATTTGGACATAACCGATTTAATTGACAACAATATAATGACAAATATCACATCGAAAACATCTCCCATTTATATGGATACTCTAAAAACTAAATTTTCCTCTGACTTTAAAAAACCCAAGGGAATTCCTGTTGTGTATTATAGACCCCAATCCGATGTAATTTTCTAGTAAGATGTTATGGTGTAGTATTACGCTGTTTTCCTTAATTTTGTTTACCGCCGTGCACAGCTGTTCGATGAACAGTTCTAGGTTGTACAAACTTCGGAATTTTTCATCCGTGCAATCTAAAAGTAGGGAACAGCAAGATAAATCGTCTATAAGCATTTAATAAAACATTGGTATGACATTCCATTCGTCATACTAAGAAAAATACACAAAATTGCCTCTAAAGTGGGCACCGTTTCAAAGTTGAGTTTCCCAAAAACGGTTAATCCGATTTTAGCAGTCCTTTTTTTAATTATAGGTTTATTCCTTGATAACGATGTTTATATTACAGAATCAGTTTTTTTTCCAGGAAAAAATGTTTTTCCCAGAAATGTAAAACATCCTGCAGGGTGCACCAGATTTCTGCTTGAATTATAGTTCAATATTTATAAACAATTTGTTTTTTGACTCACATCAATATCTCTCTCATTAATTAAAATACATGGTTAAATTGGGATATAAACGGTTAAAAAATGTACCACAGGACTAGAACCGTGCGGACACTCCACTCAACTCAGTGGCGGCTTATAACATTGTGGCCCGTGGCTTTTTTTACTAGGTGGGTAATAAAGAAAAAAAAACGCCGCAAGCAAAAATGTTTGTTGCATATTCAAAAAACTGATGTCCCCGAGAAGGAGTTTCATTTGGATTTTATAAAAAATAAAAATATTTATGCAAAAAATAATAACTATGAATAAAAATATGAAATATCTTTACCTAATAACTAAAAAAATTGTTCCTACTTTGGTTTAAGAATATTAAAAAATATGAAAAAACATAAAAACAAATTTTCATAAGGTGGCTGCCAACTTTATCTATTTACATATAAAACAATGACACCAGCTTTTTGTTTGCTTTTTCTTTTAACAAAATATTTTAAAAACATTCACATTTTATAAAACAGGTCTATTTTCGTCAGTTTTTTAAAGAGTGGCCATAAAAAACCTGTGATTTTTGCCCGTTTTTTCATAATTTGCAGAGAATTAAAAAAAATACATAAAAATATGTTTTTGGTAGCAAATTACTTGTCGTAAAAAACTGAAATGAGCATAGCTTTTAGTAATTTGAAAATTTAAAAAATCATCCCTACTTAAGGGTTGAAAATATGCCAAAATTGAAGAATTTGAATATTACCAATTGATATAAAAACTATTAGCATGTGAATTATCTTAATATATTTTTTTTGGAATTTTTGCCATTATTTGGATGGATGGAATTTTTTGTGTTAATTGTATTTTCTAGATTTTGGGAATTTTTTATAACTATTCGTAATTTTCCAATTCTTTTAAAATTTTTGTATTCGAAGTCTTCGTTTTGAAGATACAAGGTGTTGAAGTTTAAATAGTCTAAATATGTTTTGAATAAACAAATATGTAAATTGTCTTGTTACAGATTTTGGCAAAACCCAAACTTTACTTTTTTTTTGCTAGAGAGTGCGCAAAAAAACCTGTAATTTTCGGCCGGTTTTTCACAATTCGCAGAGAATTTAAAAAAATACATAAAAATATGTTGTTGGTCGCAAATTACTTGTCGTAAAAAATTGAAATGAGCATAGATTTTAGTATTTTGAAAATTTTAAAAATCACCCCCACTTAGAGGTTGAAAAAATGCCAGAAATGAGGAATTTGAATATTACCAATAAATATAAAAACTATTAGCATGTGAATTATCTTAATATATATTTTTTTTTTGGATTTTTTTCTGATATTCTCTGTTTTTGGGGATGATCCCACCCCCCTGAGCGCGCTTAAGGATGGATTTTCTAATTCAACATGCTTATTTCAGTCATGAGAATAAATCTTTCTTTGTATCAAGAATCATTCAATAGAAAAATTCACATGCTAATAGTTTTTATATTTATTGGTAATATTCAATTCTTCATTTTGAGCGTCTTTTCAACCCCTAAATAGGGGTGGTTTTTGAAAAATTTCAAAAAACTAAAAGCTATGCTCATCTTGATTTTTTACGACGAGTAATTTGAGACCAAAAACATATTTTTATCTATTTTCTTTAGTTCTCTGCAAATTGTGGAAAAACGGGCTATTTTTGGGGTCACTCTTTGCAAATTTACTTATAATGTCATCATAATGTTAAAACTAGGCAAAACAATTTATATTGTTTCCGAAAATACTATTTTAAATTCCTTGTATAATATTTCCACCGTTTTTTGAACTTCTAAGTTACGAAATTGTTCATCTCTGTTCAAAATATTAAGTTTGTTTTTCAACTTATCGAAAGATAGACCTACAGAAGGCACTAGATAAGAAGATATTCACTATTTTAACTGAGTGATGAAGTTTTGCAGAATGTTTCAAATTTCAGTGGAAAAAACTTATCCCATTTCTCAATTTGTACATGCCGAAAACTGAAATGTCAATAAAAATTTCTAATTTAACGTTGTTTCTAAAAGAAAAATAATCAAAATCAAATCAGTTGTTCACACAAAACTCAACTTTGATATCGTCACCAATTTTTAATCAGTTTATTTCATTTTAACCTTATAAGAGTGACGTGATTAACACACCCACAATATTTACGATTTTCGTACCTTTATGGAAGTACAGGGGATGGAAGGTAAAAGTCCAAAATGGAACTTCATTATTGAAAGGGTTCCATTTCGAGGCCAAATTGTCGGATTTCTCCTGCTTGAGCAACAGTCGTATACCTTTCATGTTGCGTTCTCTGAAATCACGCAGCTCGTCAAAATTAATGGCATTATAACAATTCCAGAATGTGATGTGCTTGGAAAGAGTAAATTCTGCTGGAAAGTATAGTTAGTCGGCAAGGACTAGGATATAATCACTCTGAAAATCTAAAGCAAGTGCTCTAAAGCATTTTTTTTCACTACTTTGAAGTCATTTTAGACAAAATAAGATAGAGTAGCAGACAGGAGCTCATGTAAATGTCAGTAAAATATTTATCAGTAGATTCTATGAAGCACCACTTGAAACTTTTTAATTCAAGATATTTTCTAATCTGTCAAAATAATTCTATGTATTCTCTCCATGAAAATTGTAATGTGCCGTTTATTTCGCATAGTGTTCCAATAATGTGTTTCCCTTTGCTTATTGTCATGGAAATAGAGAAGACCGAGAGTTGAAGTTATCATACTTTTAGGTGACAACAATAATAGCGTTAGAGATAGCGACAGCTAGTTGGTGATTTTACTAAAGATCATTTCTAGTGCATTATTGGTGGTGCATCTTTGTTTTTAGTGATGGTCAGTTAGCAAAAGTATCGGCTGTGTTCCGATTGATTTCAATGACAATACTTATAAAATAAAGACATGAGATCATTAGAAAAGCTTATATTAAAAGGCAAGCAAGCAGTATAATATGCTGGTATTTTGTTTTGAAGTACGATATTAATGCTGAAAGATGTGATAGTAAATTTAAGCAGATAGTGTCTTGCATTTAATTATAAGGAATACCTAGATTGATTCAAACTTTCAAGCTGCTGCTGACTTTCTTTTTTGGACCATTTTTTAAGCATACAAATTTCCAAAATATTCGACAGACCATCGACAAATCCATTTATTTTTCTGTACAACAGATAAAAATTAGTGACAGGCACTATCGAATAGAAACTATGGAAATATTCCATAGGACCAAACTATTCGATAATCAAAGAAGTATTCGAATGAAAACGGTAATGGTTAACAAACTAACTGATTCCATGCCACATGCTACTGAACTAGTAGTCGTTGGACGATAGGCGATAGTCGCGGTCATTGGTTGGTGTTAGTAGAAGAGACAGAACGATAGTTATTCGCATAAACAAATACGTACCATACTAACTTGTGATACATCATTTTTCCTTCTAATGATAAATATGGCATTCCATAGTCCCACGTCCAGTGAATCAATTTATTTAAATTAATTTATTTGATACTTTAAGTATTACTAATTTATTCAATAGCTGAATTCATTCATTCGATAGTACCCGTCACTAATAAAAACGTTACAATTTTTATTACTTAAATCATTTAGCAGACAATATTTAGATTACCACTTACAAATTGATTTAAAACTGAATTATCAAAACCGATACGAATTAAAGATCGAAATTATTTAGTAAACCTTAAAGATTACACCTTTAATTATAATTTTAAAAATTTCAATAAAAAATTGTACTTACGGTATTAAAGATCCACTTGGATAAACCAAGTTACCGATTATAATTCCTTCGATATCATTAAGAGAAATTTTTTGGTAGTCCAGCCTCTTTAATGCGATAAAGTCGTATTTAACCAGAACCATACTTTTGGCTGTGACTAGAATGAGCCTTTCTTTATCAATATCCCAATGATTAATTCTATAAAAAAAAAATAAGAGAACGGTAAGTATTGTATAAAAAATTCCTATCATGATGAAGATATAATAAGAAATATTATTTTGGCTACTCCTTTTGCTACATTTCGGAATTCAAATGTTATCAACGACTTCTTATACTTTGACACTCACTGGGTGAGCAAAAACGAAGCATATAGTGGACCCTCAGTTGTCGGATCCAAAAATTGATTTATACATTCTCTAACGGCTCTTTCCATAACCCCATCACGGAATGTGAAGAAGTTGTTGGGGTCTTCATTGATTGGAATCGACGGTAGTACGCTTCTGTCGATAGTATTAGGCGCAGGAGTAGTTTCTTTACTTTTAGAACTCCATATAGTTTCTGTGACTGCAAATAAAATACTTACATACATTAGGCTTAATTCTAAAGGAACATAAACCGAGTTTAAAACTTAAATTGTAATTAAAAAGTTAACACGTACTTAAAGATAATAATGAAGGACAAATAATGAACCCAGTATGCACAGACATTACAATTATTATTATTTTTATTCCACATTTTAAATAACAATTATCTATATGAAAATCAATAATAATTATTATCTACCTAGTTTTCATAAGTACCTAAAGCAAACAATAATACGTACTTTTATTTGGGATAGAGGAAAATGGTGCAATAAAAGCATTTCTCCAGTGACAATTGTTGTTATTACTACTGAGTTCTGCAGATTCCTTATCAGTCTTATCAGCGGGAGTCAATATGTTCGGTGATGTAGCTTTCGAGCTCTCATTTAATTTGTTTTCGGCCCCGATTCTCAAAGTACCGCCCCTGAATTCCTCAGGTAAATCTTCTTCCAAAGTCATTTCAATCATATTGACCGCACGACAAATTAATTTCAGGCAACTCTTGATTGTTTTTGGGTTAAAATATTATTACGTCTACGTGTTTATTAAATACTTCTTTAATGATTTATTATTTGTTGATCTTTCAAACATGCACGAAAACAGCTGATTTAATCGTTATTAGGCAACACTCTTAACAAATGGGAATGGCGAGGTGCCAACGCCAATATTTAAATTTCGCCATCTCTGATTTGAATCGATAAGCCGCAAGGTTGACCATCTAGCCATAGATGACGCGAGGATCTAGCTGTCATTAGAACATTCTTCTTGCTCTTTTTAATTTTTTCTTTTACTTTGGACGATTTCTGTCACTACGGTTGAACAGCATGTCAAAGAATTCAAGGAAATGAGCAACTCCCAACCTGAAAATTTTGCCTACCGAAAGTTCTACCTAGATATTTTCCCCAGGGACAGTAGATTTCTATACAAAATCGCCTATATTTATAATTTATAAAGCTTTTGTGAATACACCGACGCACAGGCCATTAAATGGTGAGTGACTTTGTTTGGAAGGTTACTCATCCAAGTACCAACATCGATCAACATTTGAGAATTTTAAGTTTTTATAACATTGCATTACAACCGCGCGCCATTATTCTATGGCTAGAAATTGGCCACAATGATTTGGGATCGAGGGGGATTATCCCTCTTTATCCTGCCTCATCTCGTGTAGGCCTGGACAGCCTTCGTAGGTGGGCCCCATCCGTCGTCTACCCCGACCGCAAATGCGGCCGGTGTAGGCGCTTTGTGGGACCTCCTTTTGTCCTGGCTGGGCCCCGCCGGCTAGGGCCCTTTCTTCTGGCGCTCTTCTTGCTTCGCCGGCTCGTCTGTGTAAACCCCGGGGGTAGTGTCATGTTTATGTGTGGTATGGTTGGGTAGGGTAGTGCGGCTATGCAGCCTGGGATGCGCTTTGCTAAGGTGGCCCTTAGGCTAGCGCGGGAGGG